ATATTGGATTTTTTGAGACAGGGTTTCTCCGTAGCTTTTTGGTTCCTGTCCTGGAACTAGCTCTTGTAGACCAGGCTGGCCTCAAACTCACAGAAATCCGCTTGCCTTTGCCTCCCTAGTGCTGGGATTAAAGGCATGCGCCACCACCACCCGGCCAAAATAAATATTTTAAAAAGAAAAAAAAAGGAGTCAGAGTGTAGGGATGGCTGGAGATGCAACTCAGCTGTAGAGCACTGAGGTTTGGGGTGCAATCCAGTACCGCATATACACACTCAGAGAAGCCAAAGTGCATCCCAGGTGGGCCCAGCAGGTGTGATACCCCCTCCCAGGCAGTACAGAGTGCTCTCCTGGCATTGCCCTCCTTGAAACCCTGTGCTCACCAGTGTTCCCCTCTCCAGGACCCTCACGTGGACCAGTATGAAGCCAAAGAGTGGACGTTTATTATTGAAAATGTGAGTGTCTGGGTAGGTCGGATCTGAAATCTCAGGGACCTCAGGGCAGCACTGATGCTTCTGCTGCTTCCCCACTTCCCACACCCGCAGGAGTCCAAGGGACAGAGAAAGGTGCTGGCCACAGCTGATGTGGATCTGGCTCGCCATGCCGGGCCTGTGCCTGCGCAGGTTCCGCTTCGACTGCGACTCAAGCCCAAATCTGTGAAGGTGGTGCACGCTGAGCTGAGCCTCACCCTTTCTGGGGTGCTGCTGCGTGAGGGCCGTGCCACGTAAGTCTCCGCCTGTCCTCCCAGGCCCTACCCTGCGAGCTCTGAGCCCCGCCCTCACCCCTGACTTCAAACCCACAGGGATGATGACATGCAGAGTCTGGCCAGTCTCATGAGTGTGAAGCCTAGTGACGTGGGCAACTTGGATGACTTCGCTGAGAGTGATGAGGATGAAGCCCATGGCCCTGGGGCTCCTGAGGTCCGGGCACGAGGCCCCCAGTCAGGTGGGCTCATAGTCGTCTGTGGGTTGAGACTGCCAAGACCTAAGATGGATCACAACAAGTGTTGGTTGTTCTGGGGCAAGGCCGGCTTGTGCACACCCAGAAAGAGGTCCTTATTACAGCAACTCCAACCTGGCCAGCAGCTCTGATTGGCCAAGCTTGGTCCTGGTCCTAGAGGTGTATCCGTCTCGAGAAGAGTTCTCTAGAATGGGTCCCCAGTATCTCCCCATGTTCCTGGCCTTCTCACTTAGAGTGGATGTCCATTTGGTCCCTATGAGGTCTGAGAATCTGGGTCACATGAAGTGTGGGCTCTGTCCAGTCTCCTACCTTCAGCCAGTCTGCCTTCCTCCCTTCTGCTTTCCCTCCATCCCTCCTTAAAGCCTTTCATCCTTCATATTTGCGGTTCTTTCTCACCCTTTCTCTTTCTGCATCTGGGGGCCTGCCTCTTCTCCAAGGCCGGGGCTGTGCCCTGAGACCGGGGCGTCTCCCAGGTAGGCCCTGAACTCTAGTCGGGGGTCAGGGTGGGGCTCAAACTATAGAACGCTGCCTCGGCCTGACTCTACCCTTCCAATGGATTCCCCCTTCAGATCTCTCACGAGAGCTGAAGACGCTCTGTGAAGATGAGGAAAGTCACACACGGCCCCAGCAGGCAGGTGAGACTTAGCCTGAGACTAGGGCTGGGGACTGGACCTTTGTCACAATGCAGTCCTCAGCATTCCCTCCCTCTCCCCCTAGCTGCCAGATCCTCTAGTGCTGAAGATACCAACCCTGCCCCTGTGAGTGCCCCTGCGCCCCCGGCCAGGGCCTCCCGGGGCCAGGGGTTAGAACCAGCTGCTACAGCCGGGGGCCAGGTGGGGCCTGAAACCCCAAGGCCCCCACAGTCCCCACCAGAGACAAGGTAAGGAGCCAGCTCTGTTGCTGTTAGAAACAGATGCATCCCACCCAGCCCCTGCCCTCCCCTCCAATGCTGCCACACTGTCATGGGTGTTCTAGAAGTGCGTGTGGGGCTCAATGGGAGACCACAACACTTGTCTGCTCTTTCCTCAGGTCCACCAGGCAGCCAGGCCAGGACATGGTCCCCACCCCAGCCCCTCGGCTCCAGAAAGGCTCTGATGTATCCCGGTCCCCAGTACCCTACACGGGGGATGAGGGTCCTCCAACAGGAATGGGTTCTTCTGGGGAGACCCAGGCCCAGATAAGCTCTCAGGAAGGGACAGAGGCCCATGGAACCAAGCCAGAGCCAGACATTGAGGGCAGAGACTTTAGAGATGCTTCAGGAGGAGAAAGATCCGAAGTTGAAGAGGGGGACGCTGGGGACAGGGCAGAGGCTAGTGGGGCAGGAAACACAGAGAAGAACACTAAGGAGCCATGCATCACAGCTGGAGAGGCTGAAGAGAGTTCAAAACTCCATCAAGTAGATGCTGAGCAGACGGCAAAGGTACACCATATAGCCATGGAGGGACCAGAGGATGCAGTACTGGGGCCCAAGACAAGACTCAGGGAAATTCCTGAGGCTCCTCCTAGGAGTGCTCAGAAGAGGATGGGTGTAAGGACCCAGGAAGAGGCTTCCAGTGACCCGAACCAAGCTCCAGCTGAGCCTGAAAGACATCTAGGGCTCCTCAGTGGTGCCAGGCCTGCAGAACAGGAGAGAGAAAGCCCAGAGGTTAGGAGTGGAGCCCCTGTTATTGGGAGGACAGGCCTGGAGCAGGATCCCTCTGCTGGAGCAGCAAGCGCTGGGCCCCAGGGCAGCAGCTCTCAGGAAGTCCTGCCAGTGGACCAGAAGGTAGGATCTGGAGATATGGGGGCCCAGGAGGCAGAAGCTGGAGAGCCAAGGGTTCTGGAAACAGAGGCTGAAGGGGTGCCTTGGAAGGTTATAGGGACACCAATTACAGATGCTGGGAGACCTGAGTCCCCAGAAATAGAGACTGGTACAGCAGAATCTGAAACACTGGAGGCCCAAGAGTCAGAAGCAGCAAGATCAGAGGTCCTGGAGCCACAGGCTACCCGAACAGCACAGTCTGAGGTACTGAGGATCCAGGATAAAGAAATTGGGGTTCTGGGGATGCTGAGGACAGGGACTGAGAAAAGGGAGTCTAAGGAATTTGGGATCCAGAAAACAGTTGGGGGTCCTACAGTTCCAGGTATCAAGACAGTGACAGCAGAAGCGAAGATATTGAAAGCCCAGGAGGTAGCAGATGGGGGAGCTGGCATGCTGAAGACAGAGGCTGAGATACTGGGAACCCCAAAGACAGAGGCTGGGGAGGCAGAAGCTAGAATATTGGAGACTCAGAAGGTAGCAGCCAGAGGTTCAGAGGTTCCAAAGGTGGAGGCAGAGATGGCAAAGGCTGATATATTAGGAATGCAGGAGACAGAGGTGGGGGCTTGGAGTATTCCAAGGATAGAGACTGAAACAGCAGTAACTGAGATATTGGGGACCCACAAGATAACATTTGAGGATTCAGGGCCCCCACAAATACATTCTAGAAGAAAAGAGACCCAGGAGATAGAGGTGGGAGGTTTGGGTGTTTCAGTGATAGGGGCAGCAGAAGATGGCATATCGGGGGCCCAGGAGATATCCACAGGTCATGAAGGACTCTGGGTCGAAGCTGAGAAACCAGAAACCGAGATGGAAGGGTCCCTGGAGGCAGAGGAGGAAGGCTTAGGGGTTTTGGAGGTAGACACTGGGCCAGCGGAAGCCAAGATCTTAGAGGCTCCAGAGATAGCAGCTGGGGTTTTGGGGGTTCTGGGAATAGGAATCAAGGGAGCCAGGGTCTTAGAAATGGAGGCTGACTCTTCAGAAGTCCCAGAGACAGAAGCCAGAGAGCTATCTGGGGGTTCTGTGGCACTGAGAACAGTGGCTGGGACAACAGAATCTAAGATGTTAGAGGCCCAGAAGACTGAAGTGGGGGGCTCTGGCATTTCACAGGTAGAGGTTGGAGGGGCAGAGGCTGAAATACTGGGGACCCAGGAAATAGCATCTGGTGGTTTAGGAGTTCCAAGGACAGAAGCTAAGATGGACGAGTCTGAGTTCTTGGTGGCCCAGGAGACAGAAGAGATTTGGGAGATCCCAGAGGTAGAGACAGAAGCAGTGGATACTGAGTTATTTGGGACCCAGAAGGCAGAAATAGAAGGTTTGGAGACCCCAGAGTTAGAAGCTGAGACAGTAAAATCTGAGATTCTGGAGTCCCCAGAGACAGAAGTGAGGGAATCAGGGCTCCTGGGAACAGAGAGTGAGGTAGCAGAAGCTGGGATGCTAGAAACTGGGAAGACAGAAGCAAGGGATTCTGGGATCTCCAGGCCAGAGGCTGGAACAATAGAGGCTGAGGTACTGAGGGCCCAGAGAGCAGAAACTGTAGTTTGGGGATCTGAGGAAGCAAAGACTGATACTTTGGAGGTCTGGGAGCCTGGAGCTTGGGGAGCCCTCAAGTGTGAGGCTTTAAGCATTGCAGTGAGTAGGCCAAGAGTTTCTGGGGCCGAAGACATAGCACCAGAAGCCTCCAGGGTACAGGAGACAGAAAGCAAATTTTTGGGGCTGGTAGAGGCCAAGTCTTGGACTTTGGGGCCCCAGGAAGCAGAGAGGGAGGGGTTTGAGTCTCCAGAGAATAAATCTGATATTTTTGAGGCCCAGGAAGCAGAATGTGGGGTCTTGGAAACCATGAAGGGGAAAGAAGCTGGTGAAAGTCTTCAAGAGGCCAGCCTGACTAAGGCACGGGTGGCCAGTGGGGCAGGGGCTGGGGGACCCAGGCCCTCGGGGGCCTCTTCCCCAGAGGAGCCTGAAGAGGACAGGAGGCTGCCGGGCAGCCAGGTAGGGATGGGGGCCACTGATGGGCAGTCTGCTTCTTCCACTAACCTGGGGCTGAGTGAACGGTGACTCTGCATGGACCCACCTGGTGGACCAAGAAAGATGCGGTTTTGATGGGGAGGGGATTCAGCTTCAAAGAAGGTTCCTCCTCCCTCCTCCCTCCTCCCTCAGGATGCCTGGCTCTTTCACCCTGCTAGGCTGCATGGAGCTGGATACCCTTAAGCTGATTTTCTGGGCTGACTTTGAAGTGTGGCTGCTGGTGGCCTCTGACCTTGCCTGGGCACCACTGACCTTTTAGGTGACCTTGGCAGATAACTTCCTTACCCCAAGCTGGCAACCCAAAGCTCTGGCCAGTGTTTCTGGTGATCTTTGTAAACTCCAAACTGGGGTGGTTTTGTGCCAGGCCTGAACTTCTTCAAAGGGTGGAGGACATGCCATTAGAATACATCCTCTGATTGTACCCTTATGTCCCCAGGCACCACCTGCCCTGGTCAGCTCCAGCCAGTCCCTGCTGGAATGGTGCCAACAGGTCACCAATGGCTACCGTGGTGTCTGCATCACCAATTTCACCACATCCTGGCGCAACGGCCTGGCCTTCTGTGCTATTTTACATCGATTCTACCCAGATAAGATGTGAGTGCCAGGGACATGGAGGTGGCTGGGAGGGAGCCTGCAGGGATATTAGTGCCAACCATTTCTAACCAGCACATTCTCTCTGCAGCGACTATTTCTCTCTTGACCCCCACGACATCAAACAGAACAACAAACAGGTGAGATGAGGAGGGGCCATGGCTGAAGAAAGGGTCTAGCCAGAGAGTCAGGCTGCTGGCCCCAGAGTTGGAGACTCTGAGGCGCAGGACCCTGGTCTACTTTTGGAAACTTTAAAATCTTTTTGGTTATTAAATTGTTTGCCCTAATTTTGTTTTGATGTTTTTAATTTTAAAAGCATATTTCCCTAGATTTCCTTAGATAGTTGTTTATTTATTTGCCAAAAATCATCTTTTGATAACTGGGTGGGCGATGTGCAGTTGCTAGGTAACAGTGAGGGCGGGCCTTGTTGCTAGATTTCCCTCTGCAGGAGGGTGAAGGCGTTGCTAAGCAAATCCTGGCTCTAGAGTCTCAGGGACCCCTAGGCTGGCTTGGATCCGGAGTGTTGCTAGATCGCTGCTACTTCTTCTGACCAGGGTGCACCCTTTCTAGGCTTTTGATGGCTTCGCTGCCCTAGGCGTGTCTCGCTTGCTGGAACCAGCGGACATGGTGCTTCTGTCCGTACCTGACAAGCTCATCGTCATGACGTACCTGTGCCAGATCCGAGCTTTCTGTACTGGGCAAGAGCTGCAGCTGGTGCAACTGGAGGGCGGTGGTGGCTCTGGCACTTACCGTGTGGGCAACGCCCAGCCGAGCCTGGCCGACGGCCTGAACGCAGGCGACCTGGCACAGCGTCTACGGGAGCATGGGGCTGAAGCGCCCACAGAGCCCAAGGAGGCTGTGAACCGCGGGACTGGGGCGGTACCCAAGGTGGCCTCTAGGGACACGGACCTGGGCTGCACCTCCAAGGATGGGGAGACTGAGGCAACCCAGGACGCAAGCTCCCCAGGGGCACCCTCCGATGGCCCCAGAGCCCGGTCATCCACGTCCCCCGTGGCCCCCACAGAGGGGCTGGTAAACGGAGTTGGGGCGCCGGGTGTTACAAGTGGTGTGAGACTGAGACGGTCCTCGGTCAATGGAGAGACCGGGCCGGTACCCCCACCCCGATCACATGGCTCTTTCTCCCACGTGCGTGACGCTGATTTGCTAAAGAAGAGGCGATCCAGGCTACGGAATAGCAACTCCTTCTCTGTGGATGACCCGGACTCTGGAGCTGCAGTCGGCGCGGGACCTGCAGGAGTTGGGGCTGTGGTGAGCACCCCTACCCCGCTGCAGCTTAGGATAGTGGGGAATTTTCAGAGAGGGCCCCGAGTCGTCCCGATGTCAGGGCTGGTGCAGGGGTGGCAGCTTCAGAGAAGTCGCTTCGCTGGATGCTGGGATGCACTTCAATCAGATGGAGCTTGGTGCTGTGGAAGGGTCCCCGGGTATGGCACTAGGCTTCCTGTTCAGGGACAAAGCCCACAGAACACCTAGGCTTCCAGTTTTGTACTTGTGAGCGGTTGCCAACATTTGTTAGAAACATCTGCCCAGTTGGTAGAAACACGGGCTGTAGCAGGAAGTTCCCAAAAGGCTCCAAGTTCTGCACCAGCTCTTAGGGCCTGTTCTTTCTCCGTGGGTGGCCTTGGGTGTCACCTAGCAACCACCTAGCCCAAGAGCTAGAGGAAGGAATACTGTCCTCTGGTGGCCCCGGTAGCTCCTCCCAGCCTCCAGATTATCTGACTTGAATTTTTAACCCCTGAGGTTTAATAGGAATTAGTAGGTGGGGCTTCTTGCCTCCACACTGTGCCCTATAGGTCTCAGGTCATATCTCTCTCTCTCTCTCTCTCTCTCTCTCTCTCTCTCTCTCTCTCTCTCGCACACACACACACACACACGCGCACACACACACACACACACACACACACTCTTCCTTGTGCTAAAGGAGAGATGGCACTACAGAAAGCTCAGGGACTCCAGATGAACTCTGGCCACAGGCCTTTAGTCTGAGGGTGACAGCAGAAGGGGCCAGAGGGTGCAGTATGGGCCGATGGACAGTTTTCCTTGGTGAAAATAGAGGACCAAAGAAATAACTCAGTGGTAGAGCATTTGCCTAAGAAGTCCTGGATTCAAACCCCAGTGTCACAAAATGTGAGGCAGGGTGGCAGATGCCTGTAATCCTAGCACTTGGGAGGTAGAAGCAGAAAAACCAGAGTTCAAGCCCTTTCAAAACAGAACAAGTCAGGGTTAGGGGGTGGCGGCTTAAGTAGGTAAAGAGCTTGCCACACACGCAGGAGGACCTGTAAAAAACCTGTATAAGTCTGGGTGTGATGCCATGTGCCTGGGAGGTGGAGACAGGAGGTTCCCTAGGGCTTGCTGACCACCCAGTGTAGCTAATTCGTGAGCCCTAGCTCCAGTGAGAGACACTGTCTCAAAAACAAGGCGGGAGAGTGATGGCTTATCAGGCAGAGAGGTTCCAGTCACGAAGCATGAGGGCCTGAGCTCTATCCCGGGGGTCCATATATGACGGAAGGAGAGAGCCAGTTCACACACGTGTGCTCCCCCAGTACACAAATATAAAAAAGAAAGGAAGAGGAAGAAAATGCGATGGTGTGTAATAGAGGAAAGCAGGAGTTATCTGGCCGCCACACATCACACCTACACACCCTCACACGCACACACACGCACACACACGCACACACACACCCTCACACACACACACACAAGCATGCAACACACACATCACACCAATTGACAGAGGAGAAAAGACAATGGGAAGGTCTGGTTCTCAAATGAGGAGGCCCACACAAGCAAAGGCAGTGGCATCAAGGACATTCCGACCACATTTAGGGAACTGACAGTCGTCTCCATGAAGTCCCCAGATGGCAGTGAGGCCAGTCTGAGAGTAGGAGCCCTGAGGGAAGTTCCAGAGACATGTGAGCCTGGGGATGAGACTAGAGAGGCATTTCCTGTAGGAGGAGGTGGCTGGAGGACTTCTAGCCCAGTTGGCTAATTTAGGTCAGTAGCTCTTTAAGTCACAAAGGGGAGGATTCAACGGTCACCCTTCTGGGGCTGAGTCCCAGCATCTGGTGTTTCCAAACCAGGCCCTCCTCCTGCCCTTGTCCCACAGGAGATATTTGACCCGTGAGATGAGAGGAGGCCCTCTCATTGGCTGGCTTTGCCCCTACTGTTTTGGGAGGGTGTTCATCCTCGCTCCACCCTTGGAGGCTCCCCAAGGCCTGGAGTGGGTTGAGGTCAGGAACCTTGAGGCTGAGGTGGGCCAGAGGCAGCCTGATGAGAAACATGGGTGCTTCTAGGGCAGCCCATCAGAGAAAGCACAGAAAGAGGAATTTGGGTCAGACATGAGGAAGAAGCTTTGGGATTCCCACAGGGCTGGTGTGAGTAAGCATAAAAGCCGCTGACATTTGCTTTCTTCACCCCCTCTCCCGATTCTGCCTGCTTTGCCAGGTGGGCCATCCCCCTGATTCCTTGGCTTCCCACAGTGCCCCTTTCAGGAAGCCACGATTTCTGCCTTTTATGGGTGGGAATAGTGAAGTTGAGGGAGATGAAGAGGCTGCAGCTGTGAACTTGGGGCCTGAGCTTGCAGTACTCATTGGCGCCCTCTGCTGGGCTCCACACAGTCGACACACACACACACACAGCTCCACCCTGGTCAAGCCACTTCTGGGCTTTTGCCCTGAGGATAAGGATCAAAAGTGTGAAATCCCTTTGCAGAGTGACATGAAGCCACCTGCATGGTGTCAAACTGGGAGCTAAAGTTTCCCCAGATGCCGGTCTGGAGTCGGCCATTTTACATGCAAAGATGCAGCCAAACCCAGTGTGGCAGGGCCTCCAGGCTTGGGAACAAGTTTTGAGTTAGACAGCTCTGGGCTGTAGATCAAGTTCTGGGGCAGACTTCATCTCTGGCCCCTGTTCCCTTGTCTGCAGAGCGATACTAGCCTCTGCCTCACGAGGTCCTTGAGGCGACATCTGTGCTTAGCAGTATTGCCTTTAGTTGTGGGCCTTGTGTGCTGGACCCTGGGTCTGTCTAAAGGGTCAGTCTCTAGGAGAGATGGCCCTGGGTCTATCTAAAGGGTCAGTCTCTAGAAGAGATGGCTTGGGGGTTAAGAGCACAAATTGTTCTTACAAAGGACCTGAGTTTGGTCCCTGTGCCCACATCCAGCAGCTCACAGCTGCCATAACTCCAGCTCCAGAGGATCTGATGCCCTCTTCTGGCTGCCAGGGGCACCTGCTCTTGTATGGACATTTCCACACACATGATTCTAAAAACAAACCAAGGCTGGAGAGATGGCTCAGTGGTTCGGAGTGAGCCTTAGTCTTCCAGAGGACCCAAGTTCAGTGCCAAGCATACAAGACAGGCAGTTCACAACAGCCTGTGAGTCCAGCTCCAGGTTATCCAATGCCTCTGGTCTCTGAGAGCGCCCACAGACACAAACACACACATATACGCACGATCAAAATTAAACCTTTAAAAAATTGTTAACAGGGCTGGAGAAAGGTCTTAATGGGTGAGAACACATAGTGCTAATCCAGAGGACCCAAGTTCAGGTCCCAGCACCACACCAGGTGATCCACAGCCGTCTGCTCCTGCCCTAGAGGATCTGATACCTCTGACCTATGTAGGCACCTGCACTCATGCACACATAACACAATCACACACACTTAATAATCAAGATAAATTTTAAAAATCTTTAAAAATAGTCAGGTGTAGTGGTACAGGCCTTTAATTGCAGTACTCAGGAGGCAGAGGCAGGTGGATCTCTGTGAGTATGAGGTCAGCCTGGTCTACAGAGCAAGTTTCAGGTCAGCCAGAGCTGATACATAGTGAGTTCCTGTCTCAGACAAATGGGCTGCCTCTCGGGAGTTAGAGAGGCTGCAGTAACCAGCAGCATGAGGAGGTGTGTGGGGTTGATGCTAACGTGAGTAAGCCTTGGGGTGCTCTCTGCCTCAGTGGGGGATCAGGACAAACTTCCAGACACTGAGGGCCAGGAAGGGAGGCAGAATGTGTTGAAGGAAGTCTGAGGAGGCCCTTGCAGGACGGGTTCAAGCTGAACCAGGAGGTCTAGCTGGTTTGGAGCAGTTCAAGATGGAGGGTGGTTTCAGACCAAGAAAGCTTTTTAGGGAACCGAAAGTCCATTGCTGTGACCAGAGGGTGGTGACCTGGTGGGGCTCGGATGGTAAGGGAATTGAGGTTGAAGCTCCCGACTGTCCTGAGCATGAGACTGGGGGCTGAGATGGGTGTGGAGCGGTTACTCCGGGAGCGAATGTTCTGAGGTCAAGACCTCTCAGCTTGAGGGAGAAGTGAATGGCAGGGTGTGGTGTGCTGCCCCCACAGCTAATCCAATCCAGACAGGCCAGCCCCTGAGCCAGGGAGGCTGGTCTGAGAGTACACACTGGCGTGACCCGGAAGAGGGGCTAGCAGTATTGTCAAAGGAGTTAAAAGTTAGGCCCCGAGGGCTGGATGGTAGGCTTAGGGGTCTTGCAGAGGACCTGGGTTCGGTTCCCAGCACCATCACAATTCATAACTTCAGTTCCAAGGGATCTTCAGGCCAACTGACACCCTCTTACAACCTCTGCAAATACTGAGCGCCCACACACTGCTCATACAGACATGCAGGAAAAACACTCAAATAACATAAAATAAATAAAGCTAAAATATTTGCAAAAATAACCGGGCTCTAGAGACATGGAATGGGGCAAGGTGGAGCCAGACTTGGCCCTTCCAGGATAAAATTCTTCAAGCTCTGTGAAGAGCATTGCTGGCTCTAGGTCTAGGATCCTGTCAGGTAGGAGGGTGCCCCCTTCTGGCCAGAGGCTAGATGCCGACTTCTCTGTCACTCAGGGGCACTAGCAGTGATGGAAGTGCCAGCGCTAAGCGACAGGAGCCAGATGACCTGAGGGGCTCTTTGAAGGGATGGGAAAGAGGGAGAAGATAGGGCCCCAGCTATGTCTTTCCCAACCTTTTGCCTCTGACCCTAAAAGAATGACCAACTCAGCGCCCCTGAAGGAGCGTTTGGAGGCAGAGATGTGGGTGGGCCCAGGCCCACAGATGGCGGTGAAGGCATGCTTTTTGCTTGAGGAAGCCTTTACCCTAAAGGAGGTGCTTGTGAGACTGGAGGAGTAGCTGGGTAGCTGTGTCTGAGAGGAAGGATTCTCCCTCCCTGTGTGTGAGAGACTGTGGTTATCTGTACTGACTGGGGACTGTTGGAAACCCAGCCCAGCCCTTAGCGGAATCTTTCCACAGGAAGGCCCAAGCCCTGACTCCAGCCTTGACTCAGGCCCACGCACAGCCGCAGCCCCGCAGCAGCCTTCTGGTGAGTGGTGAGCCGGCTTAGCTGATCACAGATCCTTCTGGGGGACTTCCTGGGGGCTTCTGCTAGCTGGAAGAACCCAGCCTGGTGTCTCTCTGCAGGTGGGAGCCCTCCTTCAGAGGAGTCACCCCCTAGTCCAGGGGACGAGGCTGGCCTGGTAAGGAGGACCAGGTGGGTGGAACTGTCGTGGTATTTTCTGAGCAAGGCTGTGATGAGCTCACCTGTCCTCCGCCTTCCCCCTTCCTCTCCCAGCAACGCTTCCAGGACACAAGTCAGTACGTGTGTGCAGAGCTCCAGGCCCTGGAGCAGGAGCAGAGGCAGATAGATGGGCGGGCCGCTGAGGTGGAGAAACAGCTGAGGAGCCTTATGGAATCAGGTGGGACAGGCATTTGGGAGGCGGCACAGCTCGAATCCCTTTGGTGGCTGGAAGAAGGTTTCTGAGATGCCACTAGGGAACGAGAAACCCCTTCCCCGAGCCCCGACAGAAGGCAGCTCTGGTGACTGTCCTGACCTGATTCAGGTGCCAACAGGCTGCAGGAGGAGGTGCTGATCGAGGAGTGGTTCACCCTGGTCAACAAGAAGAACGCACTCATCCGGAGGCAGGACCAGCTGCAGCTGCTGTGAGTGAGTCTTCCTCCTTAGGCCCGCCTCCTCTGCTGGCCCGCCCACCCGCTGCTGAGTCTTCCTCCTTAGGCCCGCCTCCTCTGCTGGCCCGCCCACCAGCAGGCCCTTCGATTTGACTCTAGCTTTACAGTAAGAAAAACGGGCTCAGAGAAATTTGAGCAGGCTCCTAAGTGGGGTGACAAGCCACTCTCCCCATCATTGCCTTTACCATCCTGCGTGCCAGAGGCACCTTTGCTTCCCTTTTGCGTTAGGAATCGTTTCCCCAGAACAATGTTAGCTTTCTTTTTCAATCAAATAATCCTTTTTTTTTTTTTTTGTATAAAAGTGGGATGTGGAAAAGGAGCAACATGCATATTTAGAGAGTGACCGAAGGGCAGCTGAGAACTCTGCACAGCACGGGGGTTCTCCCAGCCCTCGGTGGAAACTGATAGGTAGAGATGAAGTGGTCACAGCCTTTGACTCTCCCATCCCACTTTGTCTGACTTGGCACCTTTCCCCATCAGCATCGAGGAACAGGACTTGGAGCGGAGGTTTGAACTGCTGAGCCGGGAGCTGCGGGCCATGATGGCCATTGAAGGTAGGAAATGGGACAGCAGAGGCCAGAAATAGAACAGGGCCAGGGTGGGCACCCCTCCTGACTCAGGCTCCTGGTCTCTTAGAGTGGCAGAAAACCGTGGCGCAGCAGCACCGAGAGCAGCTCCTGTTGGAGGAGCTAGTGTCGCTGGTCAATCAGAGGGATGAGCTGGTCCGGGACCTGGACCAGAAGGAGCGAATGTGAGCCGCGGGACCTGGATGGTTCTGGGAATTGGAGGGCCTCAGGGCGCCTCCTGGAATGGCACGTCTGGAGTCTCGGGGCGGGGCTTGCAATTACGGCCAACTTAGAGGCTGACTTGAACCCCCTGTTCCCAGTGCTCTAGAGGAAGATGAGCGCCTGGAACGCGGCCTGGAGCAGCGACGTCGCAAGGTGAGCCGGCAGCTGAGCAGGCGGGAACGCTGCATGCTGAGCTGAACCTCCTGCCTGGTTCTCGCCCTTCTTTTCTCTGGTCATGGACCCTTCCTCGCCAGTCCCCAAGCCTGCACAGCGGAGGACAGAGCCCTCATACTCCTTCAGCCGACAGAAGCATGGCGGACTGGACCCGCGGACTGGAGCAGTCGAGCCCGCCCGGCAGTATTTATTTATCGAGTGTGTGTGAATGTTTTGGTGGTGGCCAGGATTCCAGGGCGCTGCACAGAACTCTTCCCCTGTCTACAGAGCGGAGCCTGCCTGCCACCTACATCCTTCCCTTTGTGTCTGGAGCAATAAAGTTGGAGCGCCTGCCCTTTCTCAGGAGGACTTCAAGAGAAGGAAGAGGGTGGGGCTTAGGCTAATAATGCTGTCTATGTGATTCCTGCCCGGGCCAGCCGAGCTTGGAGGTTCACAGATGATGAGGGCCAGAGGGAAAACTCATTTTGAAAGAAAATCTGAAATCACAGGCATGGTGATGATAAACAGCTATAATAAATCCAGTATTTGGGGTGATGGTGTAGGTAGAAAGAGCAGGAATTCAAGGCCAGCCTTGACTATGTTGGTGGTGGCACTTCCCTGCCCCTCTCCGCCCCCCAGTTTCTCTGTGTAGCTTTGGAGCCTGTCCTGACACTAGCTCTGTAGATCAGGTTGGCTTCGAACTCACAGATACCTGCCTGCCCCTGCCTCCCAAGTGCTGGGATTAAAAGTGTGCGCCACCTCCCAGCTCATATTTTTTTCTTTCTTTTTAAGATTTGTTTGTTTTTATGTTCATTGGTGTTTTTGCCTGCACATATGTCTGTGTGAGGGTGTCAGAGTATCAGATCTTGGAGTTACCGTGTGAGCTGCCATGAGGGTGCTGGGAATTGAACCCAGGTCCTCTGGAAGAGCAGCCAGTTCTCTTAACCACTGAGCCATCTCTCCAGCCCCTCATGGCACATATTTATAATCCCAGCACTGGGGAGGCAGATCTCTGTGGATTCAAGGCCAGCCTGGTTTACATCATTCTAAAGGGGAAAAAATGAAATGGGTCATTCAGATAGCCCAGTGGATAAAAGCATTTGTTGGGCAAGCTCGAGGATCTGAGTTCAATCCCTGGAACCACCTGAAGGTGGATAGGAGTGAACAAAATCCACAAAGTGGTCCTTTGACCTCCAAAAATGCCCTGTGCCTCCACGTGTGAGTGCACACACCCACACTAGGTTTTTTTTTTTTGGTTGATGTATATGTATTCATACTTTCAACTGTGTTCCCACACAGACTGAGCCCAGAGCCTCTTGGTGCATGCTAACTAAGTGTCCCGTTTAATGTTTTAAATTAACATTATCCCCTGACATCCTGTACCCACAACCACTTCCTGCTCTGCTCCCCAAGCTCTCCTCAGGGCCTCCCGTTCAAGGGCCTCCAGTGTACGTGAGGTATGTGAGCTGAAGATTCGCCACCTGATTTGTATCAGCAGGCTGGGGTTTGTTCTGGTGTTGGTGCTGGAATGGTTTGTTCCAGTGCCGGGGGGTCAGGAGGCATGGTGTTCAGAGCCAGCTCATCTTGACCTAGGATGCCATCTTGGTCTTCATCTGTTCTAGAGCCACTGGGGCCAAAGAATTTCACCATGGCACGAACCTGTGGCAGTTCTGAGAAGGTCTCTACCGCTAACAGCATGGCCAGGAGCCCCAGGAGCAAGTAACCTGGGGAGAAGAGCTAGTTAGGGTGGCTCTTAGGGTGCTCCCTGTGCTCCCCACCCAATTCCCAGTGTGATGGCCACCCCAGCTCTACATGCAGTTCCCAACATGGCCCCTGTGCTCTTTGGACTCCAACACTCATTTCATACTCTAGGATAGGATCCCTCTCGGAGTTGTAGTCCACGCTCCTCTACCCTCCTCCTTTCTGGACTCACCAAGAAGTGCGAACTGTCCAAGGTGGTAAATGGCTGGATGCAGGCCACGCCCACGGCCGGGCAGCAAGTCCCCTAGGCCGATAGTGCTGAGGGAGCCAAAGCAGAAGTAGATGGCCTCCAGCAGGCTGCAGTCACCCTGCATAGCCCACAGCACCAGGGCTGGCAACAGTACAAAGACGCAGGCCACCAGGAGCCCCAGTCCTGCTGCTTGGAGCAGGGCAGCCTGGGCTGCTGCCAGCTGCCACCGAACAGCTACCCAGGTAGCTGGAGAATTGAACACAGGCAACAGGCAGTGGCGCAGGGCAGCCACAAGAGCTAGGGAGGCTGGCAGCCCGAGGGCTGCATAGACCACACAGAAGGCCTTTCCACCCGCAGACAGTGGGGCCATATGGCCATAACCTGGAAAAAGAGAGCAGGGGCTGTGAGCTTTTGAGTGGATGCCTATTGGAGTCACATTTTCTCCATCTCCTCCCACAGAAGGCTGCCTTTTGGTACCCAAAATGACATGAACACCTCTTTGCCTGGATGGTGGGCAGGTCCCTTACCCTCACTGGGTTACTGTTGTCTCTTCTGGAAAATTAACCCTGAAGACACTCATTGAGACCTTTTGTGCTGGAACAGAACTGATGTTCTGTCTTTGACGGGTCCTCCCTCTCTCCCTTTCCCTGTCCTTCCGATGGAACCTAGAGAGCCTCGTGCATTCCAGGCAAGTGCTCAGCTGATATACCCCAGCCCGATACTGGCTTCCTGAGGTTTATCAGGGTTTCTCTATGTAACAGTCCTAGGCTGTCCTGGAACTCGCTTTGTAGACCAGGCTGGCCTCGAACTCACAGAGATCCACCTGCTTCTGCCTCCCGGGTGCTGGGATTAAAGGTGTGTGCCACCACCACCTGGCTATCAGTTATCTTACTCAGTATTTCCGTATCTTCAACCAGTGGGGTGCCATCTGCTTTCACCCCCCATATATGTATCCTTTCTTTCTATGTGCCGTATCTTGTGCTACTCTGGATCTAAACCTGCCCAGGCCCTGGTTTATGGGGGGGGGGGGGAAGCAAGGAAGGAAACAGGAGGTTCTGAAAATGAACTTTTTGGTATGCATGAGAGACAGCATCTAGAGCCAGAGAAACAGGGGCAGAATAGGGAAAGGTGGGAGAGTGGAGCATGCTGGGAGAACAGGATCAATGGGGTTTACAGGTTGTAAACTCCAAAGCCCATAGGAATCAGATGACGTGAGGACCGGGTGTGCCGGAGGCAGGCCCCATTCTGCGCGGCCAATTGGAAACGAACTTGGAAATACATATTTCACTTTAAAAAGTATTTAGACTATTTACAGGACAACAAAGCAAAACCGTAGGACTTTATTTCCCTGTGTCTAGGCACATGCTGTTCCCCTGGCCAGGAATCTCATCAATCCTACTTATTTCTCAGAGCAGCTCACTACTTCCTCTCCTCAGCCTCCTCAGAGGGTGGCTGTGTTTCCCACAGCACCCCTCCATCCAAGAACCTCTCCCACCCCGTCATGTTCTTGTCCTAGCTTCAGGCCTATGTGATCTGGGCTTCTCTTCTGGACTCAGAGTGCATAGGGGTGGGGCTAGGAAGGCCACACCCGTCCTGGCAGCTTAAGTGGAGGCACCAGTTGGGGTGTGTTGTGTGGGGAGCCCCAGTTATGATGTCAGGCCTGATAGAGCCTTGGCTTTGTCTGGAGCTTTGGGATGGGGGAAGGGCTGCATGCTAGGGCTCTCAGGTCTTCTAGATTGCCCGGTGGTGGTTGACCAGTGGTGGTGGCCTACCGGTGGTGGTGAGGATGCTGGCGGTGAACAGCAGAGCTGAGGGCAGATCCCAGTTGCTTTCCTCTGAGCTGTTTCCCAGGCTGGAAACTCCATGGGCCTGTGCCCTCAGGACTGCACCTAGCAGCTCCTCCAGCGCCTCAGGTGACAAGCAGGCCCTGTGCTCTGCCTGGAAGGTAGACAGCTCAGCCTGGAGCTGGGCCTGGAGTTGCAGTGCTGGAGGACCCTCCAGGGCCTGGAGCACCACAGCCCCGAGGCCCATGGCCAACAGGTGGGCTACAATCAGGAGCAGGTAGCGGGCCCAGGGCTTCAGTCTCCCCATAGCATGGCACTGAGTCTGGGGCTGTAAGGGAGCTGCCTAAGTCACCACAGGCACCGGGGAGGGGTTGCAAAGGGCGTGGCTGGGAGGAGGTGCTGCGTGGGTAGGTGGCTGAGCTGGGTGTGAGTAGAGGGAGGTGAGTCGGAGCACTCCCAGTTTCTGGCGCAAGACATGGCAGCCTGGCACTGGGGATGGGTGGAGGAAGGCACTGTGGTAAGAAGATCGATTTTTGAGGCCTCACAGCGACTCAAAGTCACAGTTCCTCAGTGTCTACTCCATTTCACTCACTCAGACACCAGGGAAGATGGCAGACACAGGTTTCTCCCCTCCTGCTGCTCACACAAGAATCTGCTGAGAAACCACCAGGGAGGGCAAGCTTCTCAGCAAAACTCTTTGAAGGAAGTACTATTTCAACCAGAGAAGAAGCCAGTTATGAGCTGGGCTGTGGTGGTGCATGCCTTATCACAGCCTTCAGGAGGCAGAGGCAAGCCTGAGTTTGAGGTCAGAGTAGTCTACAGAGCGAGCTCCAGAGCAGCCAGAGCTACACAGAGAGCCCCTGTCTTTATAGAAAAACAAAGTGAAGCCAGCTCTGGCACTGGGAAGATGGTTTGGCCGTAAGGAGCACTTGCCGCTCTTCCAGAGCGCCTGGTTTGATTCCTGGCACCTACATGGCAACTTCCAATTGCCTGTAACTCTAGTTCCAGGGGATCTGACCCTTTTTCTGGCCTCCTCCAGTACCAGGCACACTTGTAGTGAAGACATACATGCAGGCAAAACAACCATATATATAAGCATACAGGGCCGAGTGTGGCACACACCTTCAAACCCTGCACTTGGGAGGCAGAAGGGCAGATCTCTTTGAGTTTGAGGCCAACCTGATCTACATAGTGAGTTTCAAGACAGTTAAGGCTACAGCATAAGCCTGTCTCAAAATTAATAAAATTAAATAAAAAAAATAAAGTAACAAAAAAGTCAGTCATAGCAATTAAGAGACTAACCACGAGGAAAGATCTGAGGATGGAGGTCTTTGAGGACAGTGGACTGGGAAAGACGATTCTATGGCATTCTGGGTGGAGCAGTGGTGGTCTAGGCGGAGGGCAGAAAAGAGTTGTGAGATTTAGATGGAAATAGTTGGGGAGAAAACAAGGTAGGAGCCCTCTGGACAGGTGATGCTGCCAAACTTCCTGTCCCAGCTCTTGTGAGGATCTCCTTGCCTGGCCAGACTGCAGACCAGGAATGGCTGCCATGTGTAATAGGGAGGTTCACTCGTAAACCATAGAGGGGCCCTGGCCTAGGGAACGGGAGGTTCACTCATAAACCACAGAGGGGCCCTGGCCTAGGGAACGGGAGGTTCACTCATAAACCATAGAGGGGCCCTGGCCTAGGGAACGGGAGGTTCACTCATAAACCACAGAGGGGCCCTGGCCTAGGGAACGGGAGGTTCACTCGTAAACCATAGAGGGGCCCTGGCCTAGGGAACGGGAGGTTCACTCATAAGCCATAGAGGGGCCCTGGCCTAAGAAATAGGTGGTTCATTCATAAACCATAGAGGGGCCCTGGCCTAAGGAATGGGAGGTTCACTCATAAACCATAGAGGGACCCTGGTGGAAGTGGGTGAGACAGAACCTCAAAGTAGTGTCAAGAATGCCAAGGCGGGTCACCATGATACTCTGTGGGCACACTTATTCTGTCTACATCCAGGCCATGGACTAGAGGCAAACCCAGGACATACCATCAAAATGTTTCCCGGAGGGCTACGGGCATGAATCTACCTGGGCTGGGGAAAGTGTGACCTGAGCATTGTCCTAGAGATGATGATATTGTAGCTGAGCCCAGGAGACAGGCAGGGACCAGCAGGACAAACCCTCACCTGAATGGTAGAAATGGCTCAGGTAGAACTGTGGCTGGATGAAGCCTGGCCATGGTGGGAGAAAAGATGAGATAGCATGTGTAAAGTTAGGGAGCTGAGATGAACCCTTACTGGTTACCCAGATGGTGGGCTTGGCCCTAGGAGAGGCGTGTGGTATGAGGCATTCTAGATTGGTCTCAGGCAGTTTATCTGCCCATTGCTTTAGGGGCGTGAAGGCAAGGACACTGGATTATCTTCAAGAAGGGTGACAGACTGCATTTGGGGATACAGCTTACGAGTTTATTTGGCTTCATTGGCTCCCCAGACCAAAGCCCCAACCTTGGCTGGGGCAGTAGAAAGGCACCCAGAGAGCCCCGGCTCTTACAACCTCCAGGGTAGGGGTCCAGGAACTAGGCCTTGGGGACAGGGGCCACAGTAACAGGACTTGGTCAAAAGTGCTGGTGACACCTGAGGTCGGCCCCTCTCCCCTGTACCTCCCCCTCCTCCCTGCACCACTCCTGGGGGCAATTCCCTGAGACAGGCTTTGGTCCTCCCAACCAGTTAGGTACAGTGTCAGGCCCCAGTGGGGCAGGTAAGTCAGGTTGTAGGCATGTGGGGTGTAGCCCCCCATCCAGTGTGAAGGCTTTCTGTGCAGTGTAGTGTTCCTGACCCCCGCAAGGGGTCAAGGTCCCTGGGAGAAACCAAGGCAGCCACAGAGACCTGCCCGGCTCCTCTTCCAGTGTATGCTATGCCTCCTTTAAGGCAGCTGGAGCGTGGGGGTGTGGCCTGGCCCACTCAAGGTCCTGCTTCTGGTGCCCATGGGGCCTGAGCACCTATGTCTTTGGTCTGCGTCCTGCAGTCCTGGGAGCCTCCCCGGAAGGGGTTGGCAGGTGGGGAGTCCCAGAAGGGATCTGAGTCTGGGAATAAGGTCCAAGGTGCCCGTCGGGGCGCAGGCTGTGGAGAGGGCAGGGGTGAAGGCCGTGGCCCAGCTGATACAAAGCTCCACGGGTCAATACGGCTACGGAGTGGTGAGGGCCGAGGTCGGCTGATGAGGCCCAAGGGTGGTGATCGAGGGGTTCCAGGGGTACCAGGAGCCGAGCGTGATATTCCTGGTGGGGGTGAGACAGTTCTTCCTGTGGAGTTTTGAAGGGGTACGTGGTTAGACATCTACTAATTCCTAGGTGTCCCCAGAAGGCACTGCCCTGCTCTGGCCTGAGCTTCTAGCTATAAGGCTCTTCATGTTCCATGATGTGTCTGTTCAGTACAGTGTTTCAGAACCAGGCTGTCCTAGACCCCTCTGGGCTGGGCGACTTACTTACTGTGGCAGCCCTGAACTTTTACAGCTACATCTCTGTATTCCCGAACATTTCCTCATCTAAACTGGTCAGACAGCTTGGTTAACGGTGCCTGCCTCCAAGACTAACGACCTGAGTTCAAACTCTGGAATCCAGGTGGTGGAAGGAGAACCGGTTCCTGAAAGATGCCATCCATATTTGCACTTTGGCATGTGTGCCCCACAATGAATAAATGTAAAAATAAATGGATTTCCTCAGCAAGCCTAGCATGGTGGTGTACATCCGTCACTGCAGAACTTGGGATGCTGAGACAGGAGGGCTGGGAGTTGAGGCCAGCCTGGGCTACATAGGTAGATCCTGCTTCAAACAATTGAACAAAAATAATTCATCTAAAAACTGGATAAGAATGTTTGATATGAGGCTGGAGAGATGGCTCAGAGGTTAGGAGCACTGGCTGTTCTTCCAGCATTCAGGTTCAATTCCCAGCACCCACATGGCAGCTGACAACTGTCTGACTCCAGTTCCAGGGGATCAAGAACCCTCACACAGACATGACACCAGCCGATCAATGCACATAAAATACAAATAAATTAATTGAAAAAAATGCTTGATTCTAATTTAATGTAATAACCTCTCTATAGGATGGTTATAGTACTTGGCCCAACTAATCAACAGGAGTCTGTCACCATTAGGAAGGTCCCATTTCTTCACAGCTGAACCAGAACTCTGTCAGTAGGCCCAGGGCCTAAGGGTCTGGTTTGGGTTCCCTGCAGCTGTCTGAGATCCTGAGTTCCTAGTCACTCCCCGCTTCTCAGCCGGTTCAGTCTTAGGGACACTCACTTAGGGACACTCACCACGTGTCTCTTCCCGCCGAGGGCTCTTGGCTGACGGCTGGCCAGAGGGAACACCTAGGTCCAGCAATAAGGGTACAGGGGTGGGTGGGCCACGGGCATCAGGTGTTGTGGGTGACAGACGGATGAGCGGGGTGGAGGGCGGCTCGGCTGGGCAGGGTGAGGGCATCTGTGCAGGGGGCGGTGCTGGTGGGGGCTCTCCACGTTCACGGCTCAGGCCTCCTGGAGGCTGCAGGTCGCGGCCAAGACCCAGAGAGGCCAGCAGAGCAGTGCCCCGCAGCAGTGCGCGTTGGATCAGCTTGGGAGTCCCGGAGCTATTGCCCCGCTCTGTGGGTCCAGGCCGCCGCGCTTCCTCTGGCTCCGGGCTAGGCCGTGGAGGGTTACCTGTGGGTAGCAGTGACACAGGTCAGATCGAGGGGCGTACACCTGCTGGGTGAGCATCCTGGGGATCCCTCAGTGGCCTTGGAACAAGAACCAAGTTTGCTTCCCACTGCCATCTTCCTCAGCTTTGTGTGTAGAGCAGCTCCTGCCGTTCTGCAGAACCTGGAACCTCCCCATCACACACATTACACTCTGCCAAAGGGAAAGGGTCTGGGGGCAAAGTCTGGAAGCAGCTGATGTAGAAGCTGTCTTCCAAGCAGAACAGTCCATTCCTCAGAGTAGTTATGACTTCCTGCAAGGGACCCCTCCTGATCTTAGGCGCTCTCTCTCCTAGCCAGCTGTCCTCAAAGACATCCTCAAAGCCCTCCCTGCTCTAATCCCTTGTCCTTCCCTCTTTGTGCCAGACCAGTAGCTGAACAGTCTAGAGATCTGGGTTGGCTAGAGAAAGAAATATAGGCTAGGAAATGAGAACTTCTGCTGTGAACAGGATTTAGCTTGGAGTTCTCTTGGCCCAGGGAACTTCTTTTTAAAAAATATTTTATTTGTATGAGTATTTTGGCTGCACGTACGTCTGTGCACTACTGCACGTGCCTGGTGCTTGAAGAGGCCAGCAGAGGGCAATGGATCCCTGGGAAGAAAACAGCAAAAGAAATGTAAAAAAAGAGTTGGGTGGTGGGAGTGGTGGCGCACGCCTTTAATCCCAGCATTTGCGAGGCAGAGGCAGGCGGATCTCTGTGAGTTCGAGGCCAGCCTGGTCTACAAGAGCTAGTTCCAGGACAGGCTCCAAAGCTACAGGATTTTCAACCCTGTCTTGAAAATCAAAACAAAAAAGCAAAACAAAAAGGTAAAAAAGAATCTAAAAGTATTAAAATAAGCAGGAGAAAAATGAAAAAAGAGAAGTGAGAGTAGAGACTAGGACCCAGCAGGGTGAGTGGAAGTTTCTGACGTCGGCTCTGAGAAACACAGGTCCCCAGAGTTAAGCAACTCGTCCAAAATAACTTGCATAGGGTTTAAATTTGCCTCTAAGCTCCTGAATGTCAGAGTTAGTAACTCTACTGTTTAGGAGAAGACAGCATGATACTTGACCTGGAGACGACAGCAAACTTGCTTCCAAGAGGTTTTGGGCTGGTGAGTGGCTCCTGGCAATACCCTTTAGGCAGTTTTCTATCACTGTAGGCTGCCTGCCGGCTATCAAAGAGCTATCACTGTGACCTGGTCCCTAAGGGCCAGGACCTCCATGTAGGGAGCC